GCTCTGGCCCCGGTTGATTTGAGGGTGGAGGGAGGCCGTAGTTGTCAGCAGGGCGCGTCGCGTACCTCGATCCCCGTAATTGTCGTTAAGGCGTCGGCCTCGACTGCGGTCGCCTCGTGAGTGGCCACGCCGACGCGCAACGGTAACTGTCGCTGACAGCAGTATCTACACGTACCGGCGCGACCAAAACACACAGTCCCGAGTGCATTCTGCATCCTGCTGCACAACGTCCAAGAGGTCTCACCGGCGGCGACCTCAGCGTAGCGCCACCCCGAGTGGCTGAGGATCAGCTGGAACAGCAGGTTGGGGGTAGGGCTGTCCGGCGATGGTCACCCCCAGGGAATTGCAGTGGGTGAAGTCGAACTGGGCCTCCCGTCCCGGCGGATGCACCTGGGGAAAGTACACCTCCCGCTCCGGACCGTTGAGCGCCCTCCAATCCTGTAATCGTCGTTGCAGCGTGCGCAGCTGGGATGCGCTGAACCGCCAGGATGCTGCTCGCCCAGCCAGTCGATAATTGTCGTCGCCTTCAGCTGGCCAGTCGGATCATTCCGCAGCAGCGGCTCGATCTCATCCTCCCACACCCCGTCGAAGGGGTCGGGGCGGGTGCGCCACCGATGCTCCGGTTTCGCCTGCGACGGCAATGGGCCACTCTGCCACTTGCGCGCTGACCGCACGCTCATCCCAGCCTTGGCCGCTGCCGTTTCCTGTGTCTTGCCTTCCATACGTTTCTGCCTCATTAGTAAGACTTGTCGGTCTGTAATCAATCGGCACCTCCGTACCAAATGATTACCCCTTATCGACCGGCAAAAACAGTCGACGCTACCGGCAGGATTAATTGTCGTCTATCAACTGGTGTATCTCTTCCAGCTGACAGCTATGTTGTGAATGACGTTGTCCTGTAGCCGGCGGAATTCTTTGGAGAAGGCTGGGTCTTCGGCGCGGAGCTGGGTGAGCTCTTTTTGTTGGGAGTACCGGTCGAACCGTTTTGGGTCGTGGTTGGCTTCGGCTGCTTGGTACTGCTGGAGGCAGGCGTTGTGGAGCAGGCGTAGCTGCTCCAGCACTTGTTCGATTCTTTTGAGGGCTGCTGGCCCGTTGACCCGGCCGACGGCCTTGGTGGTTCTGACCTGGTATGTGTCCATAGGTCTTTATACCTGATGGGCAATGCCTTGCTCAAGGGGCAACTGTCAGTGTCTCTGCTTTTCAGAGTTTCGCAATTTTCTCCGACTTGGCTATCGTCGTCGTCGCCTTGTGATGGACGTCGTTCCTGAGCTTAACTATCCGTGCGTGTACCTTCTGGCGAACTGGCTTAAAAATGCATCAGCTTCAGATAGCAACCAACGGTGTGATGTTGGTAGGGTGAAGAGGGGAACTGGATAATGGGTCGTATGGGATGATGGTGCAATGGTAATATGGTGTAATCCAGGAGGTCAGCAGCTATGCCGGTGATCGCCGTAGTCAATCAGAAAGGGGGCGTCGGCAAGACGTCTCTCGCCACTAACCTAGGTTCTGCGTTAGGCAGAGAAGAGCCGACGTTGCTTCTGGACTGCGATCCTCAACGCAGCGCCTCAGGCTGGTTTGCACTGGCTCCCCAGAAGCATCCGCAGTTAATGGTCCAGGGAGCGGATGAAGGGATGCTGACGCGTCACGTAAGGGCCGGTGTCGCTGAATATCAGTGGATAGTAATCGACTGCCCGCCGGGCATTACCCGGGTCAACGCGGAGGCCATACGGGCCGCGGGTGTCGTTCTCATACCTTGCAAGCCTCGTGTTTGGGACGTGTGGGCCTGCCAGGACATCGTCGATGCCGTCAAGCTCCGCCAGACCGGCAACCGTGGCCTGCCCAAGGCGGCGTTCGTCATCAGTATGGGACGTCCCCGGACTCGTTTCAGCCAGCAGATCGGCTCAGCCCTTACCGAGTTGGGTTTGCCCATCCTGCAGGGCCGGACCACGGAGAGGGAGTCCTATGCGCTTGCCGCCGGTGAGGGCAGTTCGGTGCTCGAGGGTCGGGATCGGGTGGCCATGGCTGAGATAAAGGCCATTTGCCTAGAAGTTAAGGAGATGTGTAATGGTGTTCGCGTCAAGACCTGAATCCTCGGATAACCAGGAACGGAGGGAGGCATTCCAGGAGCAGGCGGCTGCGCCGAACGTTACCGTGCTGCACTGCCGTATCCCTTTCTGAGCTGCACCGACGGCTGCGGCACCTGGTGGTGGACGAAGACTCCAGCGTAACGGCTATGGTGATAGAGATGCTGGAGGAAGGTCTCCAGAGGCGAGGTCGTTAACCTGGGCAATTTGTTACTTTGGTGCATAGGTTGTTTGGTGTATAGGTGATCAAGAGCAACGGTGACGTGGTAATTAACTGAACAACTCTCTGCTGCCGTCCCACGATTATGTCAGCAGCTAACTGGTCAGCGAAACTGTCCATCCAATGAAGGATGCGACATTGAACTAACGAGAACGAGCCTGGTTCCACGTGCTCAACTCCGTTTTGGAATACCAAGTGCCTGTCGCCCAGGCCGCCGAATTGTAGGGAGTAAGCGAACGCCATGCTTGGTGTATGCTGGCGGCCGATCGGAGGGAAGGCGTTGCCGCGCGGGCCCACGGCAACCGCAGCCGCCGTCTACACAACGCAATGTCGCCCGCAACTGCTCACAACCTAAAGTAGAGCTGCAGGCGTAACGGACTGGCTGGATCATCCAGATAGGCATAAGTTGTATTTAGAAACATATTGCCATAGCACCTATACACCACTGCTCTTAAGCACCATTACACCATTAATAGGAAAATGTTAAGGGCGTCGGCAACGTCGGCAAACAGCTTCCGCTGAACTCGGCCGTACAGTTCGGCATACGCCGATAGTGCGCCATCTCCAGATGCCCGGTCCACACCTGAATAATTGGAAACGCGCGTCTGGTACGTGCCGGTTGCCGGCCTTGTGCCAGCGGCGGATTCCCCGGATAGCCGCCGAGCTTTTCTCTTGGAAACTATGACCGCATTGCACCAGTACAAACGTTCTCATATCAGAAAAAGGTGACCAAATGTCAGGATTTCCATCAGGGCCGCGGTGGTTACTATTACCTACTATATTTGGAGCTGTTGGCAACCCTCTTCGGCAACATTATTTATGAGTCAATTCGGAGTGTTGCGTCCTAAGTATCCTGTAGCCTACAATATGGTGATGGTCGAGATTCGCCAGACCGAAGTCTACGCTCGCTGGTTCAGGCGGCTTCGGGACAGGCAGGCCAGGGTGAGAATCGACAGCCGCATCCGTAGGCTGTCCCTGGGCAATGCCGGCGACGTGAGGCCGGTGGGTGAAGGCGTTTCAGAGATTCGCATCGACTACGGACCCGGCTACCGGGTGTACTTCGTGCAGCGAGGGGAAGTCCTGGTCGTCCTTCTGGCCGGAGGCGACAAGGACAGCCAGGAGCGGGACGTACGAAGGGCGCTGGAGTCTGGCAAGGGGCCTTTAGGAGAGAGTAGCTATGGCAAGGACGCAGACCCGTCCGTGGGACCCGGCGGAGCACCTTGAGACCGAGGAGGACATGGCGGCATACCTGAACGTCGCCCTGGAGGAGGGCGACCTGGCCCTGATAATGGCGACGCTCGGCGACATCGCTCGCGCCCGGACAATGGCGGTGGTGGCGGAGGAGACGGGGCTGGGCAGGGAGAGCCTCTACAAATCGCTGTCAGCCAACGGCAACCCTGAGTTCGCCACCGTACTGAAGGTGATGAGCGCCCTGGGACTCCGGCTTCAGGCGACCGCCGTGCCGGGAGCGAACGACGCATCTTGAGTGTGTCGCAGCATTGGGTACTCCAAATGAGTAACAATGGTTACAGTGCCAACCTGGGTTGGCGTGTGGCAGTTGTCACGGCTTGGTTCTCCCTTCGTCCGGGGCAGTTTCACCGGCGATGTATCACCGCCAGCCAGCGCTTCCCCGTCCGGGAGCGTTACATCCTCGCCTACCGCGAGTAGCGCAAGTTTCCGCAGATTGCGAGCTGCGTTCTGGTTACGGTCGTGCTGAGCGCCGCAATTGGGACAGTCCCATTCCCGTTCACGGCCGAGGTCTCCGTTCACCACACCGCAGCCTGAGCAGGTCTTGCTGCTGGGATACCACTGGTCGGCTTCGATACGCGGGTGCCGTACCAGTGGGCCTTGTACTGGATCTGGTCCAGCAGGCCGGACATTCCGGCGTCGGCCAGGGCCTCTGGATTGCAGGCCGGCCTTGATCATGCCCGAGACGTTCAGGGTTTCGAACCCAGGGTGTGGTACTTGCGGACCAGGGCTCGGCTGACGTGGTGGTGCGCGTTGGTGCGCAGGCCGACCACCCGGCGTTGGGCGTGGTCGATGCGACGTTGGGATTCCCACCAACCCCGGCTGCCGGGCGTCCGGCGCGCCTGCGCCCTCTGCCAGCGACGCAGGCTGCGCAACGCGTTGCCGTAGGCCCTGGGGTTGGGATATTCCCAGCAGCCTGAGCCTTTCTGTACCGGCTGGTAATCTGCATCAGGATTGGGGTGTTCTCCGCCGCTGTCCACGGCCAGGGGATTGATGTCCACGTCCACGCCACCCACGGATTAGGTTTCTCGTTGGGGCGGCGCAATGGGCGGTTTCCAATAGGCGATGCTGGCGTACCAGCGGCCAGTTACGGCGGCGGATGGTGACCTCGTAGGGGATGCCTTCCGGCAACGGGCGGGTCATCCTCACGCTGCCCAGGCAGGGCAGCCTGATACGCTGGTGCCCGTCGTAATGGATGCAGGCCACTCCCGATGCGGCCAGGAAAGAACCGGTGCCAGTACTTTTCTTCCTGTGGAACACCGGCTTGCGGGCCTGAGGCTTTTATTGCGCCAGCGGGAGTTGGCGTTTCGGTAGTTCCGGCACGCGCCCTGGGCCACGAACTTGCTGACCTCGGTTACGAAGGCCAGCGACGGGTTGACCTGCTTGGCGACGTTGAACTCCTTCTCCAGCTCGTGAGGCGTGAGCCAGAGGCCGGCGTCCCGGCCGGCCTGGTCGTTGGCCACCATGCGGTTGTAGACGAAGCGGGCAATGCCGGTGGAGCGTTTTGCGTAACTTTCCTGCCGGCAGGTGAGTTCCAGCTGGACGACTATTGCGGCCGGGAGCCAGCCCTCGGGTCGGGAGCTGGGTTGCCGGCGTTTCTTGCCCTGGAGTTCAGTCATTTTCTCTCAGGTAATTATAATCGTTCGATGTTATCTTCTGTTACTCATTCGGTGAACTTATGTGAAGGCTCTGGCTGTTTGTTTTGCCAGAGAGCTGTCAGATAGAAAGGGCAGTACAATATGCAGGTAATACTTGCAGTATGCACTACTGAATTTGCGGTATTTGCCATGATAGAACGAGAAATTACCGTTGTAAAAAAGGTTGCTTTAGTAACAAACCATCGTCAGCCTCTCCTGGAAACGCGGTCTGAGCCGCGCCGCCGCCCCAACAGTTCAAGGCGGCTCCGCCCGGGACTCTCACCCGGGAACACCGAACGGGTCCCCGCTCAGGCCATCGAAGAGACAGCCTGAACCGGATTGGGTCCGCGTCTCCGCTTCCCCAGCCGGTGCTGCGCTGCAAGCGCCGGTCTCAGCTGTCCCAGAACCGCACCCCAATACGTCCACACGTGCTTCGCCCGTTTCCTCACGGGTACGGTGAAGGCGACCTGAACGCCGTTGCCAATGGGTGCCACCCACCGGCGGGGGATGCGCTCCGAACAGCCGAGCAAACGACGGGCCAGCGCCAGGGCCGCTGCCTGGTGGACACTGAGCCCATATCGTTCCAAGAACTTGACCTGGCCAATGATGGAACTGAAGGCCGGGTTGACCTGATGTACCTCCACTCCATGACGGTAGCCACGGGGAGATGAAGTACGCCTTGACCCTGCCGTGGCTGAAGGAAGACAGCATCCGGTTGTACCGGCGGGACTCGCCCTCCAGGACAGCCTTCTTATGCCGGAAGTCCAGCTTCTCAATGACGATGGGCTTGCCTGCCTCACGTGCGTAACCAACCACGCTGGCCACCGCGTCGCCGATCAGTGCCTCAGCCTGACGGCTGGACCTGCCGTAGGTGACCAGCGGAACCCGCCAGGCACGGAGGCAGTTGCCGCTGGCGTCGGTCTCGGCCACCGCCAGGTGGTCGGCGTTCAGGTCCACGCCGATGGCGCCCCGCCGTTGATCCGTGACCACCGGAACGTCCATCATCCGGGTGGCGGCGAACACCCGCCAGCCCCTGCCGTCCCGCTTGAACCGGTAGCTGATAGCCTGACCCAGAGCCGTGGCCCGGGCCGCCTTCTCTCCGTGCTGGCGTCGGTACTGAGCGTACTCGGCATTGCCCTGCAGCGCCGCCAAGACCTGCTCATGGCCGTAGGCGAACCGCACTCCCTCTATGGTCAGGTACTTGCCATGCTCACCGGCCAGGCAATCGGGCATACGCAGCCGCAGGGTAAGGCTGCCGTCGTCGGCAACGGTGGCCACACACAGCTGGCAGCCGGCCGTTTCGTCCCTGCTCCCCAGCACGAAGAACTCGTCGCTGCGGGCAGCTGCCCGTCCCGAGCCATTCCTCTGCGTTAGTAGCCGTTGCTCCAGTGCATGCTGCCAATGCGCCACAGCGCTTCGTACCCGAAGCACTAGCCGAACCCGTCTCCGCTTGCAATACTCGGCTGTCCAAGTACCGCCAGCAGGATGCGAGATTGGCCAGCCGCCGCATCTTCTGGTGAGCTGAGTCAGGAAAACTCTGTTCAGCGAGGCCAGCGAATGTTTCTCCGCCCGTTGTGATGCTGGCGATGAGGTCATCTGACCGCGGTTCTGATGCTCCCTGACGAGGCCAATTCCTTCCGAGACACCCGCACCACGTTTGGAACATACGGGGCGGGCTGGGTATTCCCGTGCGTGTCAGGTAGCGCTATTCAACGATTTATGCCCAAAAAAAAAAAACGCACGGCCGAAACGTGGCAAAGAACCTTTCGCTGTACCGCCAGTAAGTCGGAATACGACAGACAGCGCAGATCTCCAACTGCCCGGTCCAAACCTGAATAATTGGAGGGGGGGGGGGAGGGGGGGGAACCCGCCCCGCGGGTTTTCTGGTAGTGCGGTTGCTGACTCTGTGCAGAGGGGGTTCCCCGATAGCAGCCGACATGTTCTTTTGGAAACCCTGAACACGTTGATACCAGGCCAACAGTCTATGGGCCGGACAAAGGCCCAATTGTAAGGTTTACATCAGGGTCGCTGTGGTGAAGGTGAATCACTGGGGGGGGGGGTGATGCATACCAATAGCCACTGTATTTGGAGTTGTTGGAACATTCTACAGTAAGCTCTTGTGAGTGTCTTATCAGAAAGCGTTGGGAAAAACTGGGGCGATGGTGTTGTGGTGGTATAGTTATAGACTGGTTAAGTTTTTTGCTCGCTTGGGCTTTTGAGCCGGTGCGGTGAGGTGCCGGGTTGAATCGTACAGAGCAAATTGCTTAACATGGGCAGACGCAAGAGCAAAAAAGGTCGCTCCCGAAACTTGACGGGTAGTCACGACAGCAAG